CCGATACCTGGGCTGTGACAGATGATTTTCTTGTAAGGAAGTCGGTGCGGGGGCGTCTACAGGCACCCCATTATAGAGGACTGTGGTGGCCAGGCCATCATCCTTTCTTGCCGGTCTCGCCCGCACCGAGAACGATGTGCCCCGCTGCTTTTCGCACCACCGAACCGTCCCCACCCGTGGTTAGCCCGCATCACCGATGCTGTGCATTCCATTCCCTCCCGCAGGGTGGCTACTGACGAACATGCGTGTAGCTGCCGGGGCACGTTGGACCAACCCCTCCTTCGGTCCGTGGTTGCCCCTCCCTCGCCCGCGGCACGAGGTATTCACCGTGATGCGATCCACCGCACGCCGGCACAGGGCGCAGTTGTCGTCCGGTGTGGCGCGTGAGCTGTGGGCGATCCGTTGGTGTGTCGGCGGGTTGCCCGGTGTCCTCGCGCTCGCACCAGATCGCGCGCCCTCCCCGAGTCGGACTGCTGTGCGCCATGCCCACGCGCGGCCGTTCGGACGGTCCAGCACCGCCAGCCCGGTAAGTCGACCTGCCACAACGCATCTTCCAGCACATGTTGGGATATACCAGACCGCGACATCCGGCCGGCGTGCGCTCACCATACGTCATCAACATCGTTTACGCCGAGGGCATAGGACCCGAACAAAAAGCGTGCACATCGTCCACGTAGCGAGTGGGAGCGGCGGCCAGGTCGGTCAGGTCTTCCAGCGGCCAGAGCCGGAGGACGGTGGTGCGCTGTTACGGAAATCGTCCAACAGCGAGGGACGCATGGAATGACTGGCGTCATATGCGGCCCGATAGGCCACCTGCATATCAATGCTGTTGCGCGTGGCCCACACGCCGAGACGCATACCGCGGGTCTCCTTTGACAACATCGCCCAGGCCAGGTCCATGTCGCCGTCGCGTATGGACTCGGCAAACAGGCCGGCCCGTTGGCCAACCTCGTCGGGTTCCTGGCTGCGACGATGCCCGGGGATGCGCATACAATTGGCTCCGAAGTATGGTTTCTGGACTACCGCCGTGGACCAACGCGGGAAGACGGCAAGACTAGTACCCGATGGCGTAGCCGTCGTAGCGGGGGTCGGCGGCCCCGTGGATGGCGCCGGTGTTAGGGTCGATGTGCAAGGCCATCTCCCGTCCGGTTACGCCGTCCCACTCACCCAGCACGTGCACCGGGTGGCCCATGCTGCGGAGACGGCGGACGGCGTCGACGTCGAACCGCCCTTCCATGAGCAACCGATTCTCCGCGCTGTGGGGAAGCGTCGACTCGGTTCCGTCCTGAACGTCCTTCCAGCGCGGGGCTTCCACGGCCTCCTGCAGGGTCATGCCGTGGTCGATCAGGTTGGTGATGACCTGCATGTTGCTCTGCACCTGACAATCTGCGCCGGGCGTACCCAGGGCAAATATCAGTTGACGACCGGCGCCGTGTCCGTTTTCCGACTCCGGCGTTTCCTGGAACACCATAACCGGGTTCATGGTGTGGCGGACACGCTTACCCGGTTGCAGGCAATCCACATGCCCGGGGTCCAGGTGCCAGTAGGTCATACGGTTGTTGAGCAGTATGCCCGTATCGCCGGCGACCAGGGACGAACCCCAACCGCTCTGGATGCTCTGGAGCTGGCAGACGGCGTTGCTGTCCCGGTCGGCGACTACGAAGCAGGTGGTGTCCTCCTGTTCGGTGCGGGGGCCGCGTCGGCCGGCTCCGGAGGCCACGGCCTTCCGGGGGGCCGTCTGGTGACGCCAGGGGTCGCCGGCGACCACGTTGCTGCCGGCGCGTTCCGGGTCGATGCTGGCGGATCTCTCCCGGGCGTATTCCCGGGCAAGCATACCCTCCAGCGGCACATCAACGTAATCCGGGTCGGCGACGTAGGCCTCCCGGTCGGCGAAAGCCAGCTTCTTGGCTTCCACCATCAGATGAATCGACTCCGCTGAACCGAACCCCAGGGCGGCGATGTCATGGCCGTCAATGATGTTCAGCTCCTGGAGCAGGATGTGTCCGCTCGAGTTGGGCGGAGCCTCGTAGATGGTATAGCCACGATACCGGGCGGCGATCGGTCCCTGCCAACGGGCGTGGCAATCGTCCAGGTCGGCCATGGTGATCAGCCCGCCCTGCTCCTCGCTGAACCGCACGATGGCCTCACCGATGGAGCCACGGTAGAAGGCATCGCGACCCTCGGCGGCAACGGTGGACAGGGTGCGGGCCAAGTCGGGATTACGCAGGATGTCCCCGGCTTGCAGGGGCGCCCCCGAGCCGTCGCGGGTGTAGATCGCCCGGCTGGTGGGGAACTCGCAGAGCAGCCGGTCGCCGGCGATGGCTGTCGCCAAATAATGCGAAACCGGGAACCCGTCGCTGGCGAGGGCGATGGCCGGCGCCAACACATCGGATAGGGACAACCTCCCGTGGGCTTCGTGGGTGTCCAGCCAGGCGTTCAGCAGCCCCGGCACCGACACGCTCAGGATGCCCTTCATCGGGATGCCGTCCCGGTAGCGTTTCAGCGTAGCGGCGTAGGGCGCGGCGCCGGTGCCGTTGCTGACCCGCAGGCGGTCCTCGCCGGCCAGGTAGGCCATGATGAACCCATCGCCTCCGATGCCGGACATGAGCGGCTCGACAACGCCCAGAGCAGCGGCCGTGGCGATGGCGGCGTCAACCGCGTTGCCGCCCTGCTGCAGGACGCTGACGCCAGCCTGGGCCGCCAGCGGGTGGCCGGCGCAGACCATGCCGTTGCGTCCCATCACCACCGGGCGATGGGCGGAAAATCGGATGCCGTGGGGTGTTGCAGACATGATGCTATGCGCTCCTCGATGTGAGACGGTTCGGGATGCAGTGGCGCAGGCCCGACCCATCTTATCACCGCCGCGAAGCCATGCGTTGGTCGCTGCGGGATGGCGCCGCCACGACACGCCAGTGCCTTACCGGCGTTGGCGACGGCCAGCCGGCGAAGCGAGGACGGCGAAGGCTAGTCTGCGAAGGCTAGCCGGCGAAAAAACCGCTATGCGGCGCCGACGGAGCCGGCCGAGTGGCGCAAGGTGTTCAGCACTTCCCGAGCCACGCCTCCTTTGGAGAAGAAGGCTTCCTGTTCAGCGCTAAACTGGCCGCCGCTGTTGCGCAGGGTAATAAGCAGCGTATCCGTACCGATGCTCAGAGTAGACTGCGGTTCGTGAATCACGGTGGGAAAGATTGTACGCTCCGCCCAAGTCCAGGGCCGCAAATATGGTGTCATTGACCGTTGCTTCCCGGAATTCGGTTTTGTGCAACAGGGCCTGATTGAAATTGGCGTTGGACAAGTTGGAGTGAGCCAGATTAGCTTCGTCAAGGATCGTTTTGTAGAAGGTGGAATTCGACAGGTTGGCGTGCTGAACGTCGGCCCAGGCCAGGTTCGCCTGCGAGAAATCCGAGAAATAGCAGTAGGTTCCCCGCAGCACCGCCTGCCCCAGGTCCGCGCCCCGTAGATTTATCTGGTTCATGTCGGCCCTGGTCAGGTTTGCGCCCTGGAGCTGGGCGCGGGCCATGTTGCATTCGCGGATGGTGGCGCCCTGCAGGTTAGCGCCGCGTAGGTCGGCGTTCTGGAAGTTGGCGCCGGTCAGGTCGCACATATGCAGGTCGGCGCCCCGCAGGTCGGCGTTGCTGAAGTCAGACCCGCTGAAATCCAGGTTGTCCAAGTTGCTCCAGATGAGGTTCGTGCCCTGCAATTGGGAGTGCTTGAAGGACAGACCCGACGCGTCTTTCATCGCCCGCCATTCGTTCCACCCAACCACGTCGGTTCGCAACCGTTTCAGCTGACGCCGCGCGGACATCCTTCCCCAGAAGTTCATAGGTCAACTCCAGTCGAGTTGCGACACCAGAGCCCCGACATCAGCGGAGCAAGATTAACCGCCGCTACCCTCTCCACAGGCAGGCGAGGCCACACGCAGGCGAACCACCAGCAGGCGACGCCCGCTACCGACGTAGCATGGTGGTGAAAACAGTTTACGGTCGGCCCGTCCGGGACGAGCCGACCTTTACAAATGCCGTCCAGACGGCTTCAGCCGCCGGGACGGAGCGGAGCCCGGTTAGTTTCTAGTGGCCGCCGCAGCCGCAACCGCCGCCTCGCTGCTGCATCCACATCCGCCGCGCCGCGCCGCTACCAACAGCCCACACTCGACTGCCGCTAAGATGCCGCGCCACCGCCGCCGGAGTACATCGGGTTGTTGATGACAAACCCAACCCGGCCACCGAACTCTTCAACGTAGTCGATGGTGGCTTCTTCAAGGAACGGTGCGCTGTCGGAATCCAGCAGGAATTCGACGCCGTTCATGCGGAGAACCGTGTCGTCAGCCTGGTGCTCTTTCTCCATGGTCAGCATATATTGCAAACCCGGCGGCGCATGGCCACTACGAGGCGCATGGGCGGAACGTTTTCGTCCTCACCCTCCATCACTTCCTTGAGCTTTTCGATAGCCAGACTGGTAACGTTCATATTCGATGCTCCTGATGGCTTTTCGTTACGGGAACACGTTGCCCGGTCCCCTCAGTAATTTGTACCGCCAGACTAACACGCTGCTTGCCGACCCGTCAATTGAACTGACGTCGGCCTGTGCGCAATTCAGATTACGGATTACGACCGCCCGGTTTCGCGACCGAGCGTCGTCCGCGCCAACTACATTAGCTAGCCATTGCCGGTAATCGCGTACAACACTTTGTCATTGCGGCGAAGCGCTGCAATCCCGTCGTCGTAGCAGTCAACGGCGGTTCGCCGTACGTGCGTTCGACCCCATCGTGAGTATTGTTGCCACGATCGCAGCGGCGCTCCCGCAATGACAGTTTGACGCTATGCCTCGCAATGACAGATTATAACGTCTGCTCCTCGCACGACCCAGTGGGTAGCGCTGCGTGGCCCGGGTACGCGTGAGCCATTGCCGCCGTTGCGATGAATGCGGGAACGTGGCAAACTCAATTATTACTGCCAACCGCTGGGTTGCTGCTGACGCAACAAGCCCGCCATCGAGAGGACAACATGAGCCAGCAGCTTCCCCCCGACGTACTGAACCTCATCGACTCCGCCCTTACCGAAGACCAGGCGTTCAACGACCCGACGACCCACAGCCTGGTGCCCGACAGCATCGTCGGCAGCGGGATGCTGCGCGCGAAGGCCGACGGCGTGCTGGCCGGCGCACACGTGGCGTCTGCCGTGTTCCACCGCATCGACCCGGACCTGGACGTAGAGCTCCTGCTTGAAGAGGGCTCTCCGTTGGAGCCTGGAACGGACATCGCCACCGTATACGGGTCGGCGGCCTCTATCCTGCGGGCCGAACGCACAGCCCTCAACTTCCTGCAGCGCATGAGCGGCATCGCCACGGCCACCAACCACTACGTGCGCGCCGTGGCCGGCACCGATGCCCGTATCGTGGACACCCGCAAAACCGCCCCCGGCCATCGCTACCTGGACAAGTACAGCGTCCGCATGGGCGGCGGGCACAACCACCGTCTGAACCTGGCCGACGGTATCCTCATCAAGGACAACCATCTGGAAGCCCGGGCGTCGCTGGAAGAGCCGTTGGGCGCCGTGGTGCGTCGCGCCATTTCCCTGGCCTCACACACCATCCGGGTGGAAGTGGAGGTCGAATCGCTGGATCAGGTAAGGGAGGCCGTGGACGCCGGCGCCCACATCATCATGCTCGACAACATGGACGTGCCGACGATGCGGGAAGCGGTTGGCATCATCGCTGGCCGGGCATCGATCGAGGCGTCCGGCGGCATTACGCTGGCCACTGTCCGCGAGATCGCCGAAACCGGCGTCGACCTCATCAGCGTCGGCGGGCTAACCCACTCGCCCGACGCACTGGACATTTCCCTGGACCTGGAGTTTCCGGGGTAGGGAGGTTCGGCCCTCACCCCCAACCCCTCTCCCATGGGGAGAGGGGAGTGCACGCTCACTCGAGGAGGGCTCCAACGTAGATCCTTTGGCAGTTGGAGAGGGGTTGGGGTGAGGGGCGTCATTCACCCAGCATGGGTTTTTCGCCGCCGAAGAGCTGCGGCCGGGCTGTTATGTGGCCCTTGATACCGCTGGGTACTTCGCCATTCTCGGCAACTACGTCGAGCGCGTTGCCAATCTCGGCGGCCACTGTTCGCACGTAACCCAACCCGATGACACTTTCGCCTCCCGGCGCTGGCACCACTGTTGTCGATGTAACGAGCCCCATCGCCTTGCCGTCGCCGTCAACCAACCGCGCGCCGTCCAGCGCGTCGGTCACGTTGTCGCCGTCGTTTTGCGTCTCGAAACGGAGGGCCACCAGATACTTTTGTACCTTCTCGTAGGTGTCCAGGCGGGCAATGACCTCCTGGCCGATGTAGCAGCCCTTGTGAAAGTCGATGGCCCCGATGAGACCAGCCTCCAGCGGGTTATACGTTTCGCTCATCTCGGCGCCGTAGAGGGGCTGTTGACGGGCGATGCGCAGCACCTCGGCGGTGTCTGCGCTGATTTGCACTGCACCGGCATCCGCGAGCGCCGCCGTCAGGGATGACGCACCCGCAGCGTCGAGGGCGACCAGATGGAATCCCATCCGTTCCCGCCCGGTGGCCGGGTCCGCCGGCGGCACGATGAGCGACACGGCGCTGTCGTTCCCATCCACGTTTACCGTGCGCACCGCCGGCGTCGTCAGTTCCGACGCGTCCAGGCCCGTTACTTGTTGGACTACCTTCACGGCTTCAGGGCCGGTAACCGTCAGCATGGTTAACTGTTCAGAGACGTCCTCAACCTCCAGTTCTTCCATGATGGTGTACTTGTCCAGAAACTCGATGACGGCCTGCTGCTGGCCCGGGCTGGTGAGCAACAACTGGTGGTCGCCGCAATGCGCCACGTACACCAGGTCTACGATGCGGCCGCGATCGCTGGTAAGCACGGTGGCCACTACGCTGCCCGGCGCGGCGTCGGGGTCGATCAGGTTGGTGGACAGGCGGTTGAGCAGGTCGCGGGCGTCTTCGCCCACCAACTTAAGCCGGCCGGCCTGGTTGGGAAAAACGGCGGTGCTTTCCACAGCGGCCCGGAATTCTGCGGCGGTGTGCGAATCGGTGGCAAAGGCGGTCATCTCCAACCTCCAAAACTTACGACCCCTCTCCCCAAGGGAGAGGGGCCGGGGGTGAGGGCTGCTTACCCCCTGGTGTCGACGGAACTATACGGCGAACGAGGTGCCGCAGCCGCAGGCCTTCTTGGCGTTGGGATTCTCGAAGACAAACCCCTTGCCGTTGAGGCCGTCGGAGAAGTCCAGCTGGGTGCCGACCAGGTAGATGTAGGACTTTTTGTCCACCATCACCTTGACACCGTATTGCTCGACTACCTTGTCCGACTCGCGCTCCTGGTCGGTGATGGTGAGGTCGTAGGTGAGGCCGGAACAGCCGCCGCCTTTGACCGCGACCCGCAGGCCGACGTCGCCGGCAATGCCATCTTTTTCGGCGAAATACTTTATCTTCTGGGCAGCCTTTGGCGAGATCTCAACTGTAAGTTCAACGCCGTTCTGTGTAATAGGCATAAGAGTACAACCTCCAGGTTGGAAGCTCGTGATATTCCAATTCTACGTAAACCTGCTACGCACGTCAACCAGGACCAGTGCCCCATGCGTACCCACTTTGTCGTTGCGAGCGTAGCGTGGCAATCCCTTGCCGTAGCGGAGGTGGTTGGCCGACGTGTGTTCGACCTCATCGAGATTGCCACGTCGCTGCGCTCCTCGCAATGACATTAGGGGACAATCGAAAGACCCTGGTGCCCCATGCGTACCCACTTTGTCGTTGCGAGCGTAGCGTGGCAATCCCGGTGCCGTAGTTTCACGTACTCCGTGCGTCGTCTCGCCCTGCCGATGTCTTCTTTTTGGCTCAACCTCAGCGTGCCGATTGTCGACGTCGCTGCGCTCCTCGCAATGACATTAGGGGACAATCGAAAGACCCTGGTGCCCCATGCGTACCCACTTTGTCATTGCGAGCGTAGCGCGGCAATCCCGTCGCCGTAGCAACGGCGGTTCGCCGACGTGTGTTCAACCTCAGCGGGATTGCCACGTCGCCATGCTCCTCGCAATGACAGATTAACGCCGTGCTCCTCGCAATGACGAGGGTCCCGCGACGGCGGCCTCACGATAATCCTTCGACAAGCTCAGGATGAACGGGGCGGGGTTTTGTCGGTAGATCGAGGTAGGCTTTTGCGGGATTAGCGGGGTGGGGTTTTGCAGGTAATGGGCCGTTGGTGATGTCTGCGCTTATTGGCTTCGTATTCGACTGTGGTGCGCCGGTTAAAACAACGGCTGCTGCGCTTCCGGTGATGCGGAGGGCCCAATGCGGCTGATGGCGTCGAACCAGTCCTCTATGGAGTAGAAGGTGCGGTGGTTGAAGTTGCGCAAAAACGGATGCTCCAGCCCGTGGTCTGATGCGTCGGCGTACATCAGCACCGGGCGCGCCGGCTCAGCGGTGTGTGAGGCATACATCAGCTCGGAGTACATGCCGGTGGACAGCCTCCCGCCCATCGTGATGCGGTAACCGGCGACGCATTGCGCCTGCTCCACCATGGTCAAATCCCGATGCCGAATCTGGTTTTCCAGGTCGTCCCACACCTCCAGCGCCTCCTGCGGATCCAACGTCATCGGGTAGGTCGGCGGGCGACCCTCGCTGAGCGTGCCAGTCAACGTCAGCGGCCAGCGCGCCTCGTCGTCGCAGATGGTTATCTCCGACAGATTGTGAGCGACTGCGTCCTGCGCCTTGGCCAGCACTTGCGGCGTGCCCTCGTCCAGCGTCAACGGATCGAACACGATGAAGCGGCGGTGTAATTCGCTGCGGATGTCGTCGATGGTCGCGCGGAGGTCAGCATCGTCGCGCACCGCAGTTATCGGGAAGCTGGAATAGACCAGCGGGTACTGGCGCCGGGCGAAGATGAGGCGGTACAGCATTTCGGCGGGGTGCTTCACGCCGACTACGTAATGGGGCACGTCGCGCTGTTCGTACAGGTTGCGGGCCAGCAGGTCGGCCATGGCGATTTCGGCGGTGCGCCACGCCAGAATCTCGCGGAGACGCAGCCGGAAGTTGGTGTGCTGGTCGGCATCCCGACGCTGCATAGCGGCGTGAATGTCCAGTATATCGTCGACCAGCGTGATGATGCAGTCGGGTCGCCACCGGCGGATGGTAGGCACGTCAATCAGCGAAAACTGCCTGCCGCTGGTGTAGTAGGTCAGATGGGCGGCAATGAGGCTGTGGCGCGGGTCGATGGCCTCCAGCTGCTCGGCGATGCCCAGACCGGCGCGGCGCCAGGACGCCAGCTGGTAGGTGGGCCGGAATGACGCCAGGGCGCTGGCCAGGTCGTCGCCCTGTGCGGCAATGGCGTCCTCGACGTTGGCCACCAGCACGTCGCGCGGGTTGGCGGCGGGGGCGTCGGGAACGTCGCCGTGGGCGGTGAGCCGGTCATTCAGGTTGGCAATGACCACGCCCTTGTCCACCCCGGAAGTGCCAGCCAGCAAAGCGCGCATGGGCTAAAAATGCCCGGAAACGTGGGTGATGTCAACCGAAACCGACCATCTCCCAACCCCTGTGCTAAACTACGCTCAACATCCCGACTATCCGGCGCCCCGCATACTCGGCGCAACCGGCACGGAGAGGCTCATCTATGACCAGCACCACGAAAGACCCCATCATCGTCATCGTTCAGCTCACCGGCGGCAACGATTATCTGAACACGGTTATCCCCTACTCCGATGGCCGGTATCACGATAACCGCCCCAGCGTCGGCATTGCGGCGGACGATGTGCTGGCCATTGATAATCAGTTGGGATTCCACCCATCGCTGGTTGAAGTCAAGAATCTGTACGACGCCGGCAAGGTGGCCGTCATCAACGGCATCGGTTATCCGACACCCAACCGCAGCCACTTCCGCAGCATGGACATCTGGCACACCTGCGAACCGGAAAAGGTGGGCACCGAAGGTTGGCTGGGCCGGGTCATTCGGGACCTCGACCCACACGCCGAGAACGTGCTGACGGGCGTCAACTTCGGGCGCGGTCTGCCGCGGGCAATGGCCCTCACCGGCGTTCCGGTGGCATCGGTGGCCGTGCTGGAAACCTACGGCGTGCTGACCGGTATCCAGGGCGAGCCGGCACGCTCCAAGGCCCTGGACATTTTCGCCCGAATGTACTCTCCCACGGTGGGCCTGGGCGCAACGATGGATTACCTGGGCCAAACTGGTCTGGACGCACTGCAAGGCGCCGACATCCTCAAAGCCGCCCCTGACATGTACACGTCCAGCGTCGAGTATGCTGACACTTCTATTGCCCAAAACCTGCAGGGCATCGCCAAGGTGCTGACCGCCAACCTGGGCACCCGCGTGTTCTACACCCAGCAGGGCGGATACGACACGCACGCCAGCGAGGCGACGGTGCATCCCAAACTGCTGGCCGATTTCAGCAGCGCGGTGGGCGACTTTTACGCCGACCTGCGTGAACACGACGTGGCTGACAACGTGGTAATCCTGGCATTCACCGAGTTTGGACGGCGCGTCCGGGACAATGGCAGCGGCACCGACCACGGCAGCGGTGGCGTGGCGTTCGCCATCGGAGACCCGGTGCGCGGCGGTATGTATGGAGAATATCCGTCGCTGGCCCAAAACGACCTGCTGGAAGGCGACTTGGCCTTCAACACCGACTTTCGCGGCGTCTACGGCACGCTGGTTGAACAGTGGCTTGGCCTGGACGCGAATCCGGTGGTTGGCGGTAACTTCGAGCAGCTGGCGTTTGTGTAACGATGCGCAGCGCTGTTAAGCGAGGCATGACCCTGCAAGGGTCCACCATCGGAGGCAAAGACGTGGGGACATTCAACGTGGATTTCTCCGTTCGCAGCGCTGACGGCGATCGGAGTCTGGAAATGGTCGGCATGGTCGACACCGGAGCGCTTTATTCCATAATACCGGCGTCCGTTCTGGATGATCTGGGCATCGCCCGAGACGAGCAGGAAAATTTCTACCTTGCCGACGGTTCAGTTATTGATATGTCGATCGGTCTCGCGCTCATAGAAATTAATGATCGCAAAAGGACCGTCCATGTCGCCTTCGGGCCCGATGATGACGTCGTTCTCATTGGCGCTATGACCTTGGAGCGATTCGGTGTGGCTGCAGATCCAGTACATGAACGACTAGTGCCGGCCAGGGTCACGATGTGATCGGTGGGTTCCTTTACATGGCTGTACAGCACAACGATACCCAGCCAGCGATTCCCGGCGCCGCCATTTATGTTGACACCGAAAACCTGCGGGAGCCGGACCTCGCGCAGGATGCTATCGCACAGACGGTTGCCGACTGGCCGGCCGAATATCCACCAGTAGGCAGCCTGTCGCTTTACGTGCGCGCCGACAAGGTGGCGCTTTGGCGGATGTGGCTTGAGGCAACCTATCCCGAGCTGGCCCGGCGGGTTCGCGGTGTCCAACATTTCAGCCGGGAGATGGCTAAAAACTCCGCCGATCTGGCCATCGCCGCCGATGCCATTGGCGATTTGGCGGCGGGTCAGGCGGGCTACATCGCGGTGATCAGCAACGACAGCGATTTCGGCGCCCTGTTCGTCAAGGTGCGCGAGATGGCTCTGGATGCTGGCTGGGAGCGGTTGCCGTTCCTGTGGATTACGGCTCCCGGCGGCGGCGCGATTTCGCCGGAGATTGAGCGGTTCATTCCCGACCGTTTCCGCTGGAACCTGCCGAACGCTTCCCGTCCCAATTCTGTACCAACGTGGACGCAAACACCGGCGCGGCCTCCTGCCGTTACGCGTAAACCGGCCGCACAGGCTCCGGCGGGGGCCGCAACCGCGCCGACTCCGGCTCCGGCGATTGCCCCGACACCGGCGGCTACTCCGAGTCCGAATTCATCAGCAACGCCGTCAGCGACGCCATCGGGGGCCACCGTTCCCGCCCCCAAAGCCCGACCGACCGCCGCAACCCAGGGTGTCAGCGCCGACGATATCGCTGACGAACTGATCCGCCAGTTGCCGGTGGGCAGATTCAAGGCCGGGGATGCGCAGAAAATCATCAAGGGGCGCTGGCCCAACCATTCCTCTGCCGACACCGCCGCCCATTTCGGGCAATACCTGATCCGGGCCGTGTGGCCGAAGCTGGAGCAGCGGGGTGTCGTGATGACCCGCACCATCTCGCCGCGCATCTACGAGATCACCGAAGCGGTCAAATCTTCCGCCGGAGCAAGCGCAGGACCCGCACCACGGAAGCGGCCCGAGGTTCCGATTCCGGAACCTGCGCCTGAACCCACACCCGCCGCGGCACGTTCCAGCGGCGAACCTGGTCCAGAACAGCTCGCCGCCGAAGTAGCCGAGGGCATCTCCGAGGACGTTTTCAAGGCCGCCGAGGCCCAGCAGGCCATCCGTGGGCGCTGGCCCGCTCATGCAACCGCGTCCTACTCCGCGCAACGGTTCGGCATCTGGTTCGCCGAGCATCTGTGGCCCATTATGGAGGCCCACGGGGTGCAGATCGCCACCGAGAAGCCTCGCCGCTACGAGATGACGCC